GATGCAATGCTGGATCCTACACGTGCATGTCAACTTTTTAAATTTCCTTTTCGTTCTGTTTTGAAGCCTTTCGAGTTGAATGTTTGACGCCGTAGAATTGATTCCCGTGCGCGCTGGCTTTCGAAGGGGCAATTGAAACTTGAAAAACGGTTCAATTGTTTTGTGGTGGTCCAAAGTCGACAGACTCTAAGATGGTCAAAGTTCACGAGGGAATCGTTTTAGGTTGGCAGCCATTTTGCGGTGTCAGTTGTGTGTTGCGAAATCCCTTTGAGCTAAATTGCAACGTGCCTCTTTCAAATTCCTTCACTGTCCTTTGACTTGAAATGAAATGTTGAATTTTGTACAGGTCATGAGCACTCTCTCAGGCAGCTGTGCTGTCTTATTTAGTGTCAGTGTGATCAGGATGGGGAATTGTGTGAAATGTGTGTTTGGTTGGTTGGTGCTGAAGATTTTACACTCGGAACAAGAGTCCTTTTAAGAAATCATGTCACAGTTTTGTCAATGCATCCAATGCTCGGAGGATAACAGTGTAGTGGCCGTGTAAAAGAGAACTATGTTGACATGGATTCGTTCTTCACGAAATCACTTGGATAACATGCTATGTGTATTCGTGGCACACAGAAACCAGAGAAAATACGCATGTATACACATATGACTTTTTATTTTTCTTGAAAATGTACAACTTTATTTTGAGTAAAAAAAAAAAAAATACAGGTATTTGTCTCCAAAATCTGTTACATTCTTATTTTGAAAACATGTGAGTTAATGCTTGTCTGATTACATCATTTGATTTTGAAAATATGTGACGATTTTTAAAGAACTCGCAAAATTTTCTCAAAAAAATACTGTGTATGACTTAATTCCTGTAATATTACAACTTTGCATGACGATAATCTCATAGTGTAAAAAAATATATATATAAATATATTTCTGAGTGGCCCGAATACTCATAGTCTCATACTATGTCAACACACAGAAGTGCACTCATTATAAAAATTTTAAAAAAAAACTCCCTTGAAAGTCTTTATACCCGAAGTGCAATCAGAATACTCGCACATTTTATTTTCAGCATTTGAAATGGAAGTGTATCATCTTGAGCACAACTCTAAAGCATTATGTCGGTTGCCTGCTCAAGGAATCAAAGCCACTAGGTTTTTCCTCTCGGTTCATCTGATGAATAATTTTGAATGTTATATTAGTGTCATTTTAACTAATCTGCGCTCCCCCCAAAAATTCCTTTTTATTTTGCCTTGGTCTCCTCATGAATTTTACTGCTGTCTGTGGAATGTCGATTTGAGCAATCGTTACATACCCTTCATCCCCAACTTAAGGTCCGTGTACTAGTATATTCGTATATAACTAGGGCGCACTTGTAGAACGACTGTGTCTTACTAGTAACAGTCTGTGCTGTTTGTAGGAGAACAAGAGTGAGGTACACACGTACAAATTGTCAATATCTTAACCATTAAAAAAAAAAAAATTGGGGATTAGTGTGATTGTGATTGTAAATATTGAACAGGTTTAACATTTACCATTGTGATTATGATGAGATGGGAACACACCCCTGTGATTGGCTGCCAACTAGTTCAGTGTGTTCCTCGCCTACTGCCCAAAGACAGCTGGGATATTTTCCAGCACGCCCACGACCCTTTTGAGGACAAGCGGCTAAAAAGATAGACTGATGAATGGGAACATAGCCCATACCAACCCCTTATTATCTGAAACCGCTTTTCCTTACAAGGGTCGCAGGCGTGCCAGGGCTTATCCCAGATGTCTTTGGGCAGTAGGCGGGGGGGACACCCTCAACTGGTTACCAGCCAATCCCAGGGCACATATTGACAAATAACCATTTGCACTCACTCTCACACCTAGGGACAATTTGTCCATGCATGTTTTTGGAATGTGGGAAGAAACCGGAATACCCGGAGAAAACCCACGCAGGCACGGGGAGAACATGCAAACTCCATACAGGAAGGCCAAAGCCAGAAACGAACCCTGCACCTCTGCACTGTGAGGTGGATGTGCTAACCAGTTGAATTCAGCATTTTTTTTTACTGAATTTTTGACACTGAATTTTTTTATGATAAAATATTTTGGTGTGAAAGACTAACAATAGTCAGATAATGCTCAATGTAGTGTAAAAAATTCAACAGTATTTTTAACTGAATTTTTTGATGGTATAGTAAATGAGTTTCAAAAATTCTAAATTCAGTGGCAAAAATTCTAAATTCAATGTCACAAATGTTATGAACTCTTTTTTTTTTTCCCTTTACATTTTTTCTACCAAAAAATTTGAACTTCACATTCTGATGGTGGAGGTATACTTCCATATAAATGTGATTTGGGCGTGTAAAGCGAGAGCCTATCAGGGAGGTAAAGGGACTTTTGCACCGAATACTTTATTATTTTGGTTTTATTTAAAAAAAAAAAAAAAAACCCTCATATAAGAAGTGTTGAGAGACAGTCCACTAGTTTCCTTTTTGGAGTCGGGGGAGTCCAGCTGTGCTGGCTGATATGACATCCATACTCAATGAATGTGTGATCTTCACCTTGTATGCACTTATGTACATATTATAGAACTCTGTCGAAATACCCCCCCCCCCAAAAAATATTTTGAATAAATCTAGACAGATGGGTTGCATAGAATGTCTAACAAGTGTATTGTTAATATCACTGCTGTTTGTCTATTATTTGAGTATAGTGTAACGCTACTGCGTCATGTCCTTTTTTTAATATATATACATATATATTAAATTTCTTTTTTGCTCACTAAATGTTTTTTTTTTTAAAGAGCATATTTAATTTGAGTAAGGTCATATGTTGATGTCAAATAATCGTGAGGAAATGAAAAACACAAGTGTACAGTACCTTCTAGCAATAACACTAAAATGTAAGTCTGAAGGCGTCGTAGCCCATCACTAACCTATGCTAGCAGTCATATAGTAAATATTGTATTTAAAACACTGGCCGGGCATAAATACAAAACAATCTAATGAAAAATATTAAATACAGCAACGTAACTTGAGCTTCATTGACCTTTTCTTTAATGTCCTGCTTATAAACTACTTCTGTACGACTATGACTACCAACTTTTTCATACTTAGAAGGGGATCTTCACTTTCCAGTCGATTTCAAATCCACAGTGGCAACCCGAATTTAGAGTTTATTCGGTAGCCTATCATTTACTCATGCTAACATTAAGTCACAATTAGTTGTGTGGAAAAGATCTGACGGCCAGAAGGGGGACCCTGAGGATCGACTGACATTGATTGGCCCATATCAGTGTCAAAATAACGACACGGCTTTAAACACTGCAATGACAATGTATCGGAATACCCTGCGTTGGGCCCCTTCCTGGTCAATGTTGGATGGTGGCTAGTAGGGGGCGACAGTCGGTTGATATTGGCCCATATCAACAACACTGCTAGAATCCTGGTGTTTGCTTATTTTGGGTGGGAGGCCTCTGTGGCACCCCTTGCCTGGGGGAGCGACATTGTATGGAAAACTAGGATCTCCCCTGTCGTGTTCCCAAAACTCTAAATTGTCCTTGGCTTTTTCGCCACGTGTTTGTTTTTGTGGGTCGCGGCATTTGTGCGCAGCAGGTTTGGACGTGCGCTCTGCATTTTATTTTTTGCTCCTCCAGCCTGCCGTCTTGTTGCCATAGCGCTGCTCCCAGCTGGAGTGAGTCATCCTGACAAATTGTTTCACAGCCATCCAACTCGCTCATATGAACACTAGTGCAAACTGGGGGAAGGGGGGATGGAAAGCTGTTTGAGCATTTATTCCGCATCCATGATGTCTATCTTAAGGTCCATGTACTAGTAAGCTGCTTGTCTTCACTAGTAAGACAACCTATTGTACTAGTAGAACAAATACCGTATGTCTTACTAGTAATTTTTTTTTTAATGACTTAATGTCACTTTTGGCCTACTAGTACACAATTAAACCTTACAAGTGAACTACTATGCTGCACTAGTAACACTACTAGGCTTAACTAGCAGGCATGTGCCACACACAGTAGTCTCCTATTTGCCCACGAGTAGTGCCTCCTCATTAATAACATATAGTTGTCATATTACTATGCCAAAGTTCTCCTAGTAGTCAATATCCATGTACCATTACACTCTTTGTCCTCAGTATTAAAAAAACATAGTAAACTAGTACAATGACTGCATCTTATTAGTAATGTTTTTGCCACTTTTGATCTGTAGTATATAATTAAACCATACCATTAAACTACTGTAATCTACTAGTAAAACTACTAGGCCCAGCTAGTAGGCATGTGTCACGTGCTAGTTAGCCTCCTGTCATTCTACAAGTGTCTCACTAGTGAGGGCATACTAGTACATGGACTTTAACCAGTAGTATAACCGTAATACTAGCAGGACTACATGTTACGAGTGAAGCAAAACTGCACTAATTGACAACTGTGTGCTACTAGTACTGCTCTTGACATTATAAAATTCTACTATTAGATTTACTATGAACTTATTGTGCTAGAAATAGTAGAAGTGCACAGATGTCAACTAGTGCACAGTTTTGCCTCATTGGTAACATTTAGTCGTTCTACAAGTATTGCCAAACTTGTCCTGTTCCGGTTACATCCATTTTACTAGCGCGCAGAACTGTGTATGCCTTTACGACTCAAATGTGATTTTCTGTTCATGATTCATGTTTAATTTGATACTTGTGTCCAAAATGTCTAAGAAAAGTCCAAATTGTAGTTGCTGGGGAGTTTGAGAATAAGCCATATAAGGAAACACTGCTGTTCATTGTTTGCCTGCTTTTTTTCTTCTTGTGCTTTCTACGTATCGCGCTACTTACCAATCGCATACATGATCATTATGATTGTTATTATGAGTAAAGTACTGTGCCTAATATTATGCCCTTTCTGTTTAATAAAAACTCATTCTGATCTCACTGTGGTGTTTTCGTCATTGTTTGCAGCACTTCTTTTGGATCCTTGTGATGTATTTCTGACCGACTAAATGTGAATAAAATAAATATTCTGTGGGGGTAAACTAACGTGGCTGATTTTTCGCCCAATTATCACCTTTCAGTCAACAACAGCAAATGCCTGATCCTGTGCTGTGGGGTGTATTAATTATTAACCCTTTAAGGTCCAAAATAACAAAATTGGTGGAAAATTCTAAACCAAATAAAAATTCATTCAAACATAATGAAAATTCCTAAACTATAATAACCCAGGTTATTCGTGTTTTGGCCAAGGTTCTGCATATGTGTGCATTTTATTTCATGAATCCCTGACTTGGATTGTATGATAAATAACTTCTCGGTAACAGTGGTGGTTACAAGCATGAAAATCAGCACACACATGTACATGTGGCCATCACATAGTATGATGTTGTCACTCTGGCCACCCCACTAAAAAACGTTCTGGCTACGCTCCTGCAATTAGTTCGTGTACTGTATTGCTATTGTGCTGCATACGGAAGCGTGGAGATGCCAATGTGGAGTGAAAATATTTTGACTGGCAAATAGGTTGAAGCGTTGCGAATACGTTTGATCTAGATAAATACGGTTAACATATTGAAATACGTTTCAACGTATTCGCTAGTACGTTTGAACGTAATTGCGAGTTCTTTTGAGCGTACTTGCCACCCGTTCGAACGTTTCGCCAGTCTAAAAATATTTTTACTCCACATCGGCAGCTGCGCACTTCCATAGGTTGTTACATAACAGTGTTCCTTTGATTCGTTGTTGCTTTGTAATTAAGTTCTTCTGCACTGTCATGAGAGACGGGCTGTGTGGAATTATTGCTCCGTCATTGTGGCTATATATGATCAGTTTGTTGATCCTGGAAATAGTCGCGTGCGATACGAGTGCTGCGTAGTAACACTCTGCAAACGAACAGGTTGGTGACCCCTGCACTTAAATCGGGGTGTCGCTCTTGTGTGGAAATGATTGATGCGCCCTGATTGGCTGCCGACCATTCCAGGGTGTACGACGCCTACGGCCCAGAGTCAGCCGAGATAGGCTCCATCCAGCTCGCTCGCCGACCTCGAGAGAATGAGCGCGATGGAAGGATGCGTGAGTCTCCGTATATCCTAACCCGGTTTGATCCTCGACTGCTTCCCGGAGTTAACCCGTCGCTGCCAAATTGCCTGGCAGCGCGTCGGGAGCACTCACGGAGTCCGTCAAAGGTAGAAGAAGGTAGCCTCGGAAACACAAGCAGGCCTCGGCCGCCGGACAGTCGGACCCGCCAGGCCAGGAGCAGCGCCGCCAACGCGCTATTTGTGTACGAATGGTGACGGCGAAATAGAATGCGGTACAGGGCGTGCGTCACCCGACGACACGTTCCCCGACAGTGCCTCTTTGTAACCGGGTCGGACCCTTGTTGAGCTCGGGCATGGGACCTCGGAGGTTTAGCCATCGTCGAGCTAGCTAACAGGCGGAGTGGACAGCAACTTTCCCCCCTTTTACCCGCCGAGTTTTTCAACCTGGGCTACTGGCAATTATGTCGGATTGATTATATCCGCAAGTAGACGGCGTTTTATATGGTTGTCTCGGCCTGGCTTTGGATAATAGAAAAGGCCCGTAAATGTTTCGGGGCGCCGCGAAGCTAATCCGTTAGCCGCTCCAAGTTAGCTTCGCGTCCGTCGACCATCAATGAAGGAGTACAAAGTGGTAGTGCTGGGTAGCGGCGGCGTCGGTAAATCGGCGCTGACCGTCCAGTTCGTCACCGGGACATTCATCGAGAAGTACGACCCCACCATCGAGGACTTTTACAGGAAGGAGATCGAGGTGGACTCGTCGCCTTCCGTGCTGGAGATCCTGGACACGGCGGGCACCGAGCAATTCGCCTCCATGCGGGACTTGTACATTAAGAACGGACAGGGATTCATCCTGGTCTACAGCCTGGTTAACCAACAGTCTTTCCAGGTAAGAAAAAAATGATTTGTACGCTCTGTAGCTTCATTTTGAGTCAGACACAGTGAAACCCCTTTTATCGCGCAGAATGCGTTGCAGGCCCATTCGTGATGGGTGAAAACCAGCGAGATAGAGAGACCGTCAAACATGTAGAAGTAGACTGTCACGTAAAAAAAGCATCGCCAGTTACAGTCCTAACTGTAATATACTAATTATGCTCAAAGTCCCCCAACAAATAAAAAACATTATTGTGTTACTGTTTTTGGATGCAACCATTTTGTTTTTGACTGTGCAGCGAATCAGTAAATTGCAGAAGATACATTTTTGGATAAAATGACCACATGTGGAAAAAATATTCCAAATAGTTTTACCTTTCCCCACAAGCCCTAAGCACATTCAGGCTCTTTAAAATGTAATTTCATCTTTTAAAACACTTTTTTTAAGTAATCCTTAGTTCCTTTATTTAACTCCTACTGGGAGACCAGCGTATACCATCATTTCGATGTAACAAAAAGATGACAGCTCGCACGGTTGTCCAAATAAGAAACCAAGTGTGCATGCTTCATCTTTGTTTGCCACTGCTGTCTTAAGTTAACTGTAAAACTGACACACGAACCCACCCTTATTCATGTTTCTTTTTGACCCAGTAGCCTGCTTATTCAAGTTATTTTTTTCCAGATTCGAAAAAGAATATTTAATGGGAATAATAATTCTGCATCACTTAGTGTCCCACCTCTGCAGATAGTGAGGGTCCATGTATTTTGAAGCAAAAAATGTTCAATCATTTGATGGAACTTTGCTAGGGTAATGCTAGCATATAAGGCAAAATGTCACAGACTTGTGTGTGTGTGTGTGTGTGTGTGTGTGTGTTTTGGGACGGTCAGTCACACACAATTGCTGCTTTCTGCACAAATATAGTCCTGCTTGTTCTTCCTTTCTGCTGCTTTTTGTCATTTGTATCATACAAAATGTCCCCAATTCAAAATGTATTTCTTTCTACACCTCGAGGACATCCGACCAATGCGAGACCAAATTGTGCGAGTGAAGCGCTTCGAGAAGGTGCCGCTGATTCTTGTGGGCAACAAGGTGGACCTGGAGTCAGAGCGTGAGGTGGCGGGCTCGGACGGCCGCGCCCTGGCCCAGGAGTGGGGCTGCCCCTTCATTGAGACCTCAGCTAAGAGCAAGACCATGGTGGATGAGCTGTTCGCCGAGATCGTGCGTCAGATGAACTATTCCACGCTGCCTGAAAAGCAGGAGCAGTGCTGCACCGCCTGTGTGGTACAGTGAACAAGAGGTATGGATACTGTATTAGTAGAGGGTAATGCATACATATAAAGCTAACAGACACATGTGTGTGTGTGTGTGTGTGTGTGTGTGTGTTTTGGGACGGTCAGTCACACACAATTGCTGCTTTCTGCACAAATATAGTCCTGCTTGTTCTTCCTTTCTGCTGCTTTTTGTCATTTGTATCATACAAAATGTCCCCAATTCAAAATGTATTTCTTTCTACACCTCGAGGACATCCGACCAATGCGAGACCAAATTGTGCGAGTGAAGCGCTTCGAGAAGGTGCCGCTGATTCTTGTGGGCAACAAGGTGGACCTGGAGTCAGAGCGTGAGGTGGCGGGCTCGGACGGCCGCGCCCTGGCCCAGGAGTGGGGCTGCCCCTTCATTGAGACCTCAGCTAAGAGCAAGACCATGGTGGATGAGCTGTTCGCCGAGATCGTGCGTCAGATGAACTATTCCACGCTGCCTGAAAAGCAGGAGCAGTGCTGCACCGCCTGTGTGGTACAGTGAACAAGAGGTATGGATACTGTATTAGTCAATCCACTACAAAATGCAGTTTTTTGCTTACAAGCAAAATAAAGAAGTTTTGAATGACAGAGAAAAATATATATATTTTTGCAACAAAACAAGGATGAAAAATGTATTGAAGACTGAGGTCTGGACCGTACCGTGAGTCCCCTGGAACAACCCACCACTTGTTTTTTTACATAAAAGTATCTCCGCGCGGCTCTTATTTCACCCGACCGTAAGAGAGATGTCAGGCTGTGAAAGTTATATCGATGTCATAGTACTAGAGCATTTTTATAAATACAGTACATAGAGTATCAATACTGGTGCGTCCTTAATTTTTGGGTAACTGTGAACAATAAACTTGAGTGTATAAATTATTTGACTAGACTATTATTTGCGCTCCTCTCACTTGAACATAGTTCGTTGGCTCCAAGGTGCCGTAAGATGGCGCGATAGCGCCAAAGCAATACTTAATGAATGGGTTTGGTCAACATGGGAATGTGTGTCGGTTCACCGTATCTAAAAAAAAAAAAAATCCCCTTGATTATTATTATTATTTTAACAGATTAACAAAAATTGAAATGAGAGATGTGTGAAGGATGAGTGGGCAGTGACATTTAAGATGGATGTTTGTCGGGGGCGAGCCATAAACATTGCCGCTCGACAGCTCGAGCGACAGAGCGAGGCAGATGGTGGTACAAAGAGGAAAATGCCACATCCTGAATAAGAATGTATGTTCCATAACAGGAAGTTAGCATGTCATTGTTGCACAGCGCCAGCCATCTGTGTTCTGAAACCAAAACACACTTTTTTTTTAAACAGGAAATTGTATTAATTTATTCCCAACAGTTTATACTCATTTGGTAGCATTTCTTTTGGCTGCACTGCATCCAATTATATATATATGTGGATGTTGTAGTTTTTTTTTTGTTCTTTTATTGTCCAATCAAATTTTAGCCTCTGTGTCACAGTCTGACTGTAATCTGCCCCTGCGAATTTACAAACTGTAGCGTTGGCCGATTTAACATAAACCACATGAGCACTTGCACCGCTCCTCTTCTCTCGTACCTGTATCTGAATATAAGTCGCGTGACTGGTCAAACTATGGGGAAAAAAAGTGTGCCTTCTAGGAAGAGAAATATGTGAATCCATTTTGTTCACGCTTTATTAAAAATATGTGAATCAGCAACTACTTTGATTAAGATTTCTGTAGTCCTCAATGAAAGTACCCTGATTAGCTTGGTGTTTACCTGCTTTTACTTTGGAAAGCAATGCTTAACATTTTTCCTCGATTTTCTGACATGTCACAGACCAAACCAGAAACTGACCAGGATCCCTTTATATTTGAGGTATTTTCTTTTTCTGAGTAAAGAGTTAGAAAAAGGGATACAGGATAATTATCAGACCGCTAATTGTTGTCCTGATATTGGGGGGGGGGGTGACATCACCTGTCTCTGTGCGATAGTGCAGATTAGGCTCTGTTTCGTAATACATTTAAATTTGTATTGGTGTGTGAGCAAACATGATTTTTATGGTCTTGCTAAATGGCGGCTTTGGCAAGCAACCGTTGGTACTAAGGTGGTGTTGTGTTTCTTTGCAGATGCAGTGTTTGCCTGAATCAGAAGCAAGGGGGCGAGGGGTTCCCCCGACTGCACAACATGACCGCACTGCTAACTTTGAAGGCTTGCGAGCGTCTTAACATACGTACGTCTGGCAGCTGAGATGTCACTCCTATTTTTGATATCCCGACTGTCAGTGGGACATTTGGTTCTGTGCCGCCACTTGAAAAGCCTTGAAAGGGACACTGAGAGATTTGACACGGAGTCAACTACTCTTGAATTTCGCCCCCCCAATCCCCTTCCCCTCCTTCCTTTTAGTGAGAAATCATACCAGCCCCTCCGCCGCAAAGTGTAATAAACAACAAGAGTGTTTGTGAGATTGCAGCTCCTTTTTCAAGCTGCCCTAATCACCGTTCTATACTTTCTTATTATTCAAACTTGTATCACTATGGGAAGCCATTGGGGATTTATTATGTATCCTTGACATCCAGCTTAAAGTATGTGTACTAGTACACTCTCTGTCAACACTAGCAAGACAATTCAGTGCACGAGTGCTCTTTTTATAGTAGAAGACTTTTATGCTGAACTTGTTGTACTACTCAGCCTGACTAATAGGCACGCCTCACCCACTAGTAGGCTCCTGGACCCCACTCGTAACACCAAAATGTCCATGAATCATCCTACTAGTCAGGACAAAGGCCTTACTAGTACAAGCTGGACCGTAAGGATCCTTGAGTGCTTGTTCGATCTCATTGACATCCAGCTCAAGGTCCTTATCCTAGTACACGCTTCATCTTTGCAAGTAAGACAATTCAGCACACGCCTAGGGCGCACTCGTAGAACAATTGTGTGTTTGTAATGATTGTTTCTAGCCCTGTTTGAAATTTCTGCTGATTAGTATGACAATTTTGGTATACCAGTAGGACAACTACAAGTTAGTCGCGAAGAAAAACTGCACTCGTCAACATCTGCACACAACTTGTTCAATTCGTGAGGTGCCAGATGTTAACTGGTAGAATTTGAGCTAGGTAGGACAAGTACCGCGGGACACCACAAGTTAGTAGTGAAGCAAAACTGCACTAGTTGACATCTGCCAACTACTGGTACGACTAGTAGAGCACTAGATGTTAAGTTGTAAAATATGTGACCACTGGTTTCATTTGTCAACTGATGTGCAATTTTGCCTCACGGCTTACATGTAGTTGTCCTACTAGTAGTACCAAACTGGTCTTAACGAGTGAAGAAAAAGCGCAGTAGTACGTGGACCTCCAGATGGACTTCAAGGATATTGATTAAATGTTCAAATGGCATTCCGTAAAACTGTTTTTGCATCTATTTGATATCCTTAAAGGTCCAATTACTACTAGTATACTCGTTGTCCACAGGATGACTATTTGGTGCACTAGTAGAACAACTACTGCCTTTCATTGGGCCTAGTATTGTTTACAAGTATAACACAGTCATTAAATAGTGAGATTTGTGAACTCATACATGGTGCATAAACTGGATATCAAGGACATAGAAAAAATGCTCAAAATGGCTTTCCATACGTCACAATTTTTTGGAGTTTGAAGTATTTCATCTTCTGACATTTTTGAATTTTAAGCATGCACACTTAAGTTGCGCTTCCTGTATCATTTTATTTTTATTTTTTTAGTTTGAGGAAATGTTGACTCTGGCAGGATGTTCAACTTTATTGAACTGACTCCTCTTTTTTTTCCAGTAAAGTCCATCGTTAAAACTTCAAATCCACATGTTCAAAATTGAAAAGGTTTAATGCAATCCTTTTGAGTTGCTAAAACGAGCCACGTTTTGAACGAATTCTACGCAGCCTCAGATACACGAGCGCATGGATCACATGGACGCCTGTCTTCGTGCGCTTTTCTCCTGACGTCTTAGCGGCGGGGGAAGGATTGTGCAAGGACCAAAGCGAGCATGCACCTCCACATGCACATTTTGACTTTTTTTCATTTCAACTTGGCCATTTGTTGTCGTTCAGTAACTCCAGCTGTGTGTTAAGCGGATTTAACATGGCTTTCTGTTTCGTTTTTTTTTTTTTTTTTTTTTTTTTAATAGTATCATATTTATTAAAAACTAACAATGTGAGTAGCCAGTTTTAAACAGTTAATTTTATACTAGTTTTCTGCTTTGGTGACATCCGGCTACAAAGGTATATATTGTGGGGTATTTTTTGTTTGTTTTGGTTTTATATTAAGATGAGAATTTAACAGAGCCTTAAAATAATTTCTGGTGCATCCTGGTGTCTTGTTCTTCTTTCGCTAGCAGACATCCTCATTTTTTTCTGCAGCTCATTGTCACACTGACATTGGCAGTGAAAATATTCGCCAACGCAAAACAGCAACGTGTTGACCTCTTGTTTGGCACATCAACCTCACATTCAAGGTTCTGGGTTTGAATCTCGGCTCACACCTTCCTTCCCACGGTGTTTGTCCTTATAAATAAGACAACTCGGCGCTGCAGCGTCAGTAACTACTCAGGGTGTCACTAGTATCCGTATAAAGGATATTGAATATCAGGTCAGTGTACGAGTACACTATCATCATGAGCAGGGCAATTTTGTATTGCAAGTAGGATAACTACATTTTACTAGTGATACAAAACAACCTGTTGACATCTGTGTGCTTAGAGAACTACTGTACTGGTGAAGAGCCAGATGTTAACTAGAATTCGGAGTGTGAGGCTACTAGTACGTGACATCCTACTGGTTGGGCCAAGTAGTGTTTGTTACGTGTGCATCTCAGTCGTTTACAAGGTAAATTATTTTCTAGTAAGCCAAGAGAACCATTAGTAGTCAAAATTACGCTTTACACAGATCTGATCAGGTGAGCAGATATTTAGCATTTTATTGGTTTTGATCAATTCCACAAATGATTAATGAAGTCTTTGATCAGATCCACAAGTTATTTTATTTTTCGGTGACCGGCTCCAAAATCTTGAATGTATAAAACCTAGCGGGAAAAATATTACTATTAAAATAGTATTTATACTAGTGTGATCTAGTTTTTCTACTGGTGTGCTGAATTGCATTACTTGTCAGGACACAGCATACATTGTCCTGGGGATAAGGATAGCAAATAAATGCTCCAACGGCTTGTAAAGCATTTAATTTGTACCTTTGACAGGCAGCCTACTTGTGTGTGACACAACCGAATGGATAGCAAATTATTCGAAAACGTCTTGACCATTTTTATTCTATATCCGTGACGGAGGCTATGAGAAATCCTACTAATTTGGCCTAGTGGTGTTACTCGTGCAAAACAGTAGCTGACTAGTCAGATGTAATTAAGTACTTGTTGGACAAAATTGGCACGAGTGGAAAAATATTGTCCTCATCAGCACTGAAATTGGCGTCCGCTTCATTTTCAAAACGTTGCAATTTAGCCTCCAACCATTGGAGGCAGCACATTATTTTAAATTAGGTTTAGACGTCACTAATGATTCCGGAAGTGGTTGTCAGATGTACGCAGTGAGATGACTTCTGCTTCGGTGAATCAGTTTGAGCCAAAAGGCAGAAAAAAAACGTGTCGGAACGACCAAATTCGCGTGAGCTACGATGAAGACTGTGTTTGTTACCGTTGGTACTACAAGCTTTGACGACCTCATCGAGGAAATCACGTCCGCCGAGGCTCTAAAGGTGATTTCACGGGGCGCCTGTAGGCATAAGAGCCATTTATTACTGACGTATTTGCATTTACAGGACGAATCAAGTATAAGTACTTGTACTCTGTACTTAACGAGAAGTACAGATACTTGTGTCGAAAATACTCTGTTAAAATGAAGTACTGATTCAACTCGGTAGTAATTTTTTAAGCGCTTGGTACTACCGTGAAATTGTCCCCCCGCCCCTTTCATTTATTTAAATGCATTATCTGTTTTGATAATTTGGTGCAATAAAAGAGAAACTGCATACAAAATTGTTTCCCTTGAAGAAAGTCACGAGTGGACAAAGCTCATTTCTGACAGTGTTATTAAGCCGGACTGAATTGACGACAGGCTCTGCATGATGAAAAAAAAAACCAACATAAAAATGCTAAAATAGCTAATTATACCGACTAAAAATACACCTTGTATATATTTTTTTTCAAGTTAGACAAAGAATGTTTAATGCCAGATGCTGCCACAAGACAATATATTCCCCATTAATTGTGAATAGTAAATCTGTTGTGTCATTGTTAATGTTCCCCAGTTTACATTCCTCCAGGGAACGGCTTTTTTTTGTTTAGTTTTTTTTACCTTATGACTACGAGTGAAAAAAGTACAGAGCCTATTTGGACAAACTCAGGAGTAGAAAGGACAGGGACTGGTTTTTGGTTACTAACTTCATCCAGAACAATGCAATTGGATAGACAGAAGCCTTGCCACAAATAGCACAAAGTACACAGCGATTGACTATAGATGCCACAAGATAATGCCAAGACTGTAGTTTTGTATTAGACATGGCTTTGGTGAATTAATGAATGATACCAAATATGTTGTATTTTTTATTCCAATTGAATAAGCCAGTGGTTCTTTTTTTGCGACCAGGCATTAAAGTACCGCGGCTATGAGCGTTTGGTTCTCCAAGTGGGAAGAGGATCGGTTCTCCCAGATCCACAGAACTTTCCGCATGTCACCTTGGAAGTTTTTCGCTTCAAGGACTCCATAGCCAAGGACATGGAACAAGCAGACCTCATCATCAGCCATGCGGGCAAGTACAAATCTTACCTTGTCATGTCAATTACGTGTGACAAAAATGCCAAAATGTCATAAGGTGGGCAAGTTTAGGCACCTGACACTCCAACAGAGTGTGTGTGTGTGTGTGTGTGTGTGTGTGTGTGTGCGCGCGCGCGTGCGCGTGTGCGTATACATACGTACAGTATGTTATAAACAGCGTACATGTCGCCATTGGTAGTTTACATTTTGTATAGTGACCGTGAGAAAACATGACCCAAGGAGTGAATGGCGAATGCCATGTAAAAAAATAAAAAAATCTACTGATGTTCGATTCAAACCATGTAATCAGTCAATGTCGCTCGCGGACTGTTTCTTCGTTGTATATTTGAAAGTCAATTATTTATTTTTCAGTCTTGTTTTCATGAATTTTTTTTGAGATGTCACAAAAGCAAAAAATATTGATAGAAATAGGTCAGCTGTTTTTGGTGAAGTCAACCCACTACTGCTGATTACTGAAAAACGGAAAATACTAAAAACAAACTTTTGGGGGTGAAAGACAAGCGTCTACTCTTTGTTTCGGTACGGTCGGTCCTGACATTGTTGCAGAGAACAAGATTCTGTGCCTCTTGAAAGGTCAGAAATGCTCTAAAACGGCTGGCAATATGAGGGACTCTCACTTCACAGTTTATTCCCATCAATTCTTCCAAGAAGGGTACCAACTTGGAAAACGACTCCCTCAGGCTCCATTTTCAACTTTTCAGACATGCCCAGTAATCCACATGTCCATGCTTAGTCCTGTATTTTTTTTTTACGATCACGGTCCATTAAAAGATGTTGAGAAGACATGCGAAGTGAAAACGGGAATTTGCTGTTGGGCCCGCAGACACGCTGAGGAATGCAGATCTTGTTTCTCTCAGGGGCCGGAAGCTGCTTGGAGGCACTGGGTGCCGGCAAAGCCCTGCTGGTGGTGGTCAATGACAAGCTGATGGACAACCACCAGCTGGAACTGGCCAGACAGCTGCACACGGACTCACATTTGCTCTACTGCACTTGCCCGTATGTAACACAGACCTGGGTAGGGGTTCTCAAACTTCTTTGGGTCCAGGAAAAAAAAAAAATTCCAAGCACACATTACTGCGAATTAAACACCACGTGTAAGCATAAATCAGGGAGTTCTAAACTTTTTTACATTGAGGGACATTAACAGAAAAATGGAAGCACTAATGCTGAGGGAAAAAAAAGTTCCATATCTCTTTATAACGTGATAAATTTTCAGTTTAACATGATACGTTATCACATGCTTGTGGATATTCTTACTCATCCATAGTCAGTTTTCAGGAAATTGAATCGATTGCACCAGGACTGCTCTGGATATCTCTGAAGACGTTTCACCTTCCATCCATGACAAAAACCGAAAACACAGCCCCCCTTGACCGCAGAGGTAGCTCTACTCCACCAGGACTTGTTGATTCACAGAGGCCCCTCTGCAAGGAATCTTAATGACAGTTATTTTGCAAGAATGATACCATTCGGGTCGGTGGGGTCTGCCTCCAGCTTGGAGCATAAATAGGTCAGGTTTACCACGCCAACTCAGGCTGGTCAGTCCCAAACAAGCCGTGCTGCATGAACTCATGAAGCTTTCTCAAATGAGAGGCCAAACGTCTTCCAAGGCACCCAGAGCAGTCCAGTTGCGATGGATTCAGTGCGCTAAGAAAGATCCATACTTTATTCACATTAACTTATGCTAAGCTTGACTTCTGAATTCATCTAAACAAATCAAGAGCAATTTGTTCAAGCAAGAATGGAAAAGAGTTCCACCTACAAGCAAAAGGGGATGTAACACAATGGTAAACATGACCCTGTCCCAGTATTCTTGAAATGTGTTGCAGCCATAAAATTCAAAGTTGATTCATATTTGCTCAAAACAAAGTTTATCCGTTTGAACATTGAATATATTGTCTTTGTCGTCTATTTCATTGAATATACGTTGAGCCTGATTTGCTAGTCATTGAAGTCTCTACTGTTTAACACAACATCCTTCCTTCATTGGAAATAGGTTTTGTTAGTGTGGATCTATTTTATTGATTTAATTGTATTTTTTTTTTACCTATCCCGCGTTAGTCCCAGCATTCTTCACCCCGTCTGCATAATTATTTATGACAAATCATTTTGCGGACCCCGAGTTTGAGAACCCCAGCACGGCAATATATAAGTTATGAAATTTAGTGAGAGCCCGCCCTTGTTTGTTCTCCTCTCTCAGAACACTGACCGAAACCCTGAGGAGCATGGACCTTTCTGTCCTTCAGCCTTTTGTGCCGGGTCAGCCAAAAAAGTTTGCAAACTTTATGGACAAAGCGCTTGGACTCCAGTGAACAGGATTTATTTTGAAAAATGAACTTCCCCCCCCCCCTCCCCCACAGAGGGTTTTCTCTCTGCCGTTCATCACCACCCTAATGTCACCTAATAACCACCCATGACATGATCAGCTAGGTTGGGTGAAGATCAAGTGCCACTTTCAAGTGACAGCAGAGCTACATTGCATTGTTTGAATGTTATAATGCAAAAACAGTCAAATCCCC